CAGCACCACAACAGGACTCCCTAATTTGTTGGCTTACAATTAGTACATAGCATACGTTTATAGTCTTTTTTTAAATTTTTTGTAATGTTGGTAACAATCTTGCTCCTCTTTTCTATATGCTGGTGATAATTTGAGTCTCCCCCCCTTTTTTTTTTTTTTTTTGGTCAGTTTGCTAAATTTTTCTCAATTTTGATGATCTGTTAAAAAAGAAACAAAACCCAGCTTTTGATTTTATTGATTTTTTTTCTGTTGCTTTCTAGTCTCCATTCTATTAGTCTTTTACCCAATCTTTATTAAGCCCTTTCTTCTACTTTTTAAAGTGTATATTTTGCTCTTCTCTCAGTGATTTATGGTAGAAGATTAGGTTATAGATTTGAGAGCATTCTTATTTTAAAATTGGACATATACAGCTGTCATTTTCCAGATAAGCAATACTTTAGTGGCATCGCAATGATTTTGGTCCACTGAGTCTTCACTTTCAGTTCATCTCAAAGTCATTTCTAATTTCCCTCTTGATTCCTTCCATGACTGATTATTTAGGAAAATAATTACTTATTTTCCACTCATTTGTGAGTTTCTTAGTTTTCTCTTTTGTTTATTTGTTAATAGTTAATCATGTGCTTTTGGTCAGGGTGACAGTAGGGAAGGTGCCATTGTTCTCAACCACTGTCCCGGAATAGCGCCTGGGGGAAAATTAAAAAAAAAAAAATTATTCTGATTGGTAACTCAAGTTGTCATTGTTCTAGAAAAGAGTGCAAATTTCTCCAATGATATATTTTCTTTCCTCTTTAGCACTCTTTCCAATACTTACTCCAATTTATGAAGCCCTAAGTATCTCTGTGTTTCCAAGAGATGTTACTGAATTTTTCAAAAAATCTGTACGGAAGATTAAAGAGCGCCGCCTTAAAGACAAACAAAAGGTAAGCTTTGTGTTGGTGCTCACTTTTTATATCCTACTGTGTACTATGATTTCTGCATTTTTTTGCATTGGAAAAAAAAAGTGTGTAGAGAACCCTAGGATTTTGAGCAAGAGATTTCTTTTTTTGCTGGAGGAATGGAGAATATAGAGACTGGAGGAAAAGGTAAAGAATGAGTCACAGATATAAGTATGGCACTGTAAGATAAGCACTGGACTATAAAGTCAGTTTGAACCACAAGGTCGGCAGTTCAAACTTACCAGCCGCTCCTTGAAAACTCTGTACAAGGTCCATTATGAGTCAGAAGCGACTTGATGGCACTTAACAACAACATGAAACATGATAATTAGTATATTACTGCATGAATTCTTGGAGGTTTTCAAAAGTTTGTGAAAAAAAAATCCA